TTTAAATTTAATCAAGTGATTTACAGTAGATATCGTTCATATGGAATATAAATTTAATACAAAACTTTTATTTTTAAAATGCGAATGAAAATAAATTGCAAAACAAAATACGAACCAATATAAATTTAATACAGAGAGTATTTTGTTTAAAAATGAAAAGAAAATAAATTAAAGTTGCATGTAATCCTAAATAAATATTTGTAACAATTTCGAGAGGTGGAATGATAAAATTATTAACGGGAAATTCTCAATAAAGCGGTTCAATTTAATACTAATATTATTACGATTGCAATAAGGTAATATTTTTAATAAAAACATATCATTTTAATTACAGTTACTAGGCTCGTTCAAAATTGGCCCAAAGAAAGAGGAGCTTCTTACTACAAAACATCGCGTTGTGAATAAAATCATCTGGTTGATCAGCACCTCGCGAAATGCCATTTTAGTAGTAATTTGTGGTTTAATAGGCTGGAGCTTTTCGAACCAACCGCCTATCCAACTGATCGGTATGAGACACAAATAAAATCCCTTTTTTCTGTTAACCGCAAATTAATCGAGAAACAAACTTTCATTAAAATTTTTTAATTTTTTTTTTTTATTTAAAAAGATTAAAAAGAAACTACGATCATGTTTGAATTATACGTAACATAAATAAATGCAAAATTTTATTTAAAATTGTGCCAGCAATCTGTAAAAATTCCGATTATTAATTACAGTGATATGAAATATTACGTAAAATTTATTTTGGTTATACGTATACATATATTTTATTGTAATAGAAATTATGTTATTAAATATATCGTGCGATGTAAAAGAATACCGTACAGAATGTTTCAAAAATAAAGCACACTAAAATTTCTCATTTCAGGTTACATACCGGGAGGCATGCCTACTGTACAAATCCCACCGTTCGGCTTTACTAACAGCAACACAACGGTCACGTTTATTGAGATGTTTGGTAATTTAGGCAGTGGACTCATCGTTATACCGCTCATTTCTCTAATGGAAGACATCGCTATCTGCAAAGCCTTTGGTAAGAGTGTATTCTACTATCTTGGCAAGTTACAAGATAATATTATTCTTTGCCAGATAATATTTCCATATTAAGAATTGACTTGTCTTTGTTCGAAGAACTAATTTTTAACTTCCCAAAATGATTGAATTTCTTAGTTAAACTTTTATCGCATATTTAGGAGCCTATCGTATATTTACGGAATTTATGCATTTTTTACAGCTAATGGAAAATCAGTGGACGCTACGCAAGAGCTGATAGCGATTGGTATATCGAACATTGGAAATTCCTTTATGCAAGCTTTTCCAAGCACGGGATCCCTTAGCAGGAGCGCAGTAAACAACGCTTCTGGTGTTAGAACACCATTCGGCGGCATTTACACTGGTGAGTTTAGCTTATAATTTTTGCAAATTATTGTTTCTATTTATCTCCTTTGCCGAAGTCGAACGTAAAGTAAAAAACGCAAAAGCTATCAAAATGTAGAATATCTTAATTAGTTGTCGGAATGTTAATTGTTTAGCATTGTCATTAAGTTTAAACGTTTACATATTTTGACAGTTCAACAAATTTATTTTCAGATTTAGTTAAATTTTTAGATACTTCAGCAAAACCATTTTTCCCGAGCACATACGTATATTATTCACAAAGCTCAAATCATATTATTTCGCTTGAATTTATCGACCGATCAATAAAACTGAAAAAGTTATTAGAAAATCATAATTGTGTGGTTACGTTATTTGTATATGTGTATGTGTGTGTTTTAGGTTTATTGGTAATTTTAGCTCTGCTATTCCTCACTCCGTATTTCAGTTTTATTCCACGTGCCACTTTAGCAGCGATCATTATCGCCGCAGTGATCTTTATGGTCGAAGTTAAAGTAGTGAAGCCGATGTGGAGGACAAAAAGTAAGAGCGCGTGTTTTTCATTAATACATAAATACATTTACGACAATACGTCACGAAATTAACTGTTACCCTTTTGTGTCGCAGAATCGGATCTCATCCCGGGGGTAGGCACGTTCATCGCGTGTTTGGTACTGCAATTAGAGATCGGTATCCTCTGCGGAATAGGAATAAATATTCTCTTCATTCTGTATCACGCTGCCAGACCGAAAATATCCGTAGAAAAGCTTAAGGTGGTTATTGATTTACTTAAAAATACAAAGCCAATTCTTCACGATCTGTGTTAAGTCTTCAATCTTTCACTCTGTTCTTGATTTAAGCTCGTGCTATTGCGGATATGAGCGATATATATTTCATAATATCTGTTCTCATTTTTCTCTTTTCTTTAATAGACACATCACGGTATCGAGTATCTAATGCTGACGCCGGATCGTTGCTTAATCTTTCCCTCGGTGGACTACGTTCGCAATTTAGTGACCAAGTACAGCCGACGTGCCGAGAGCGTCGCGACGCCTGTGGTGATCGATTGTTCGCATATTTACGGTGCAGACTTCACAGCTGCCACAGTCATCGAGATTCTTACAAAGGATTTCGCTAAAAGAGGCCAGCCGCTGTTCTTCTACAACCTGAAGCCGTCGGTGAACGCTGTATTTGAGGGCGTCGAGCCTACGGACTTCATCGTCTACTATAATCAGGAAACGTTAGATGACCTGCTGAAGGAGAAGGGCTACACGAAGCAGATTCAATAGAAGCCCCATGAAACAATCAAAATATTGTTTTCGATGTGGAAGATACAATTTGTATTTTCATAGCGTGTTCCTTGAGGCTGTTATCCGGACGCAATAGCCGGCTACCAAAAATACACGAGACTCGAGAGACTTTCAAACATCTCCCGATTCTTAATGCAGTCGACTGGACTACAAGGCAGAATTTTTTTAAATCAAATCGCCATGAAAGCGAAATTTTTATGAAGCAAATTATATATTTAATTTTCTAAACTTTTGGAATGGAATCCAACTCTAAATAGAACCTCACTCTCAAAAATTAACAATTGAGCCACTCTTTTTTAACATTGGCTCATTTGTCATTTTTCGTTACTCTTTAATAGAATTAGATTCCACTCCAAAGATTACTCTTTAATTATCTAAAATTTTAAAGAGTATACACATTACGTCGGTAATTCATCGGTGTTTTGCTTAAAATTCCGAACGACAGCGATAATATAATAGAAGACATAGAAAATATTGTTGACCTAACGACAATGCCTAAAAGTTCAAAAGCGCAGTTTTAATATAGCTCATTTAAACAAAATAATTTTGATTCACGCGTATAATGGAATCAATCGAAAAAGACAGAAAAAATACTGAAGATTATTTATGCATATATCTTGAATACATTTCAGATATATATATGTCAGTATGGGTATATAATACTCGTGTCGTTATATATCTCGGAAAAAGAGAGAATACGTAGGAAAATCAGCTCGAAAATATTCTATGTGATAAGATACTACAGAAATTCGAGAAGCAAATGTCTGAACATTCAAGTATAAACGTCTGAAAAATTAAAATGCAGCTTAAAAGGCGCCTTTTAGGCATCTTAAATATCTTATAGGTTCTAAAAAAATATGTTTGTCTCGTCTAAGTATTTATTTAACTTTGCGATGAAGTAGAAAAATATCTGCGATATTTGATTGTGACGTTATCAAATCGATATCACTCAGCGTTTCTCGTATTTAAACCCTTTCACGTAATTTGAAAGAAGTTTCCATTGTACATTTTTATACACCTGCTGCTTCATGCAAAATAGCCACCTTCTATATTCTAGAAGCGCGTGTACATAAGATATAAAATAAGTATTCGAATGATACTGTGATAATTTTATAAACAATATGTGAATATGTGTCTGGCGGACAATCCGGCGCGACGGAGAGATATTCATATGACGACAGCGACGCATATGAATATTATAGATCTCTCTCGTAGAATTTTTAAAAACGTTTACTGCATTCGACGGCGCGTGATTCATAGTCCACACGCGTCGACAAAAAAGTTTGCAAAATGTAACCAGTTTACGATTATTTTCGATCAATACGCAAGAGAACCGTTTTTTTTTTTTCCATTATATTTTCGCATGTTTAAAAAAATCTTTTTTATATTACAATAAAAAGAACGCTGTAATATAAAAATAATTAAATATTATATGTTATAATAATAATTGTAAAAATAATTTTATTATTATGACTGTAACGTCATAACAATGAGGAGAACTTACAATTTAATGTTATATAAATTAAATAAACGGAGAGTTTTTAAACCATGCGGTGATATAATAGCAAAAGCAAAAGTTGTTGTGTTCTTTCGATAGCGATAAATTCTTATCGCTAAAAAATAGATTTAATGCGGCTTGTTACTTCGGCGAGATAATGCCGATATTAATCTGTAGAGAAATACTATGTTACAACTATGAGTAATTATGTTACATAAAAAAAGATTATAGAATCCTGTGGTAAATTACTTAATAGCGCTGCGTCTGTGCTGTCGAAAGATAAGCTTCGTTCGCTCGAGAGACTTACAAGTGATTCAGCATAAATCTATTGCAATTAATAGTTTGTTTTATATTTACACATACATAATAATATGTATGTATATATATATTTATAAATATCGATTAATATGTAATTATAAGTATATATAGTTGTATATTAATTTTTTTTTACCATTTTCAGTCCCCAACATAGAAAAACGCAATTAGCTTTCGAGAGGGAAACAATTTTTGCAAAATCAGTAATGCGTTGCGTATTTTTTGTTTAAAAGTAATACATAATTGAATAGTCGTAAGAAAATCGCAAAAACACATATTCTGAGATAAAAATAATATCAAGAAGTCTGAAGTCCTCTTTACGACATTCTTCGCGACTTTTGCGCGAAGTTTAACAATAAGAATAAATTTATAATTATTTTAATTTTAAAGATCACAAATTATCTGATCCGCCTTACATCGGCAGGCTTGAATCAAAGAAAGAGATCATCTTTTTTATTGCAAATAAATTTTATAGAATGATATTCAAAGATGATCCGAACAGCATGATTATATTCAAAATCAGGCCATATATATATTTGGCACCCCTTATATGCGTGCAGTGTAATACTCGTCTCTCGATACTACAGATAATGATGTATACTCAATGACAGGATGAATCGGTCCATCGAAGGTCACTCTCGCGCTCTCATTAACCTGATCGTTCATCGGCAGATATATCTTATCCCTACACACCGCATTATATAGGGCGATGGTCTCCCTTCTCCCAGCCGGCCGAGCGTTATCGATTGTTACGAACACCGTCGTCAGAACCGTAGCCGAGGATCGCGGCGCCTACAGCGAATTAATTTCAACCCGTCTGCTTCAGCAGCATAAGTAAAAAAAAGTTCTCGGATTATGATTTTTGGAAAAAAAGAAAAGAGAAATTACAAATCTATCGCAGAGTTTTGGAAAAAGTTATAGTGATGGTGAACGTAACGACGATGATTACAACCGGGCTTCCAGTGGACTCGCGGTCAACAGGCGCCGATGGTCCTCAGCTTCCTTTCATCTCGCGGGATAAGGGAGAGATCTCACGTACGGACGACGTCGCGTCGTGTCGACTTTCCATCGATTGTAACACGCATGACGACAGAAGTGGCGCCGGCCAGAAACGGGGACTGCGAAGCAGTTACGGGTCTGCCCGTGCAGTTTGATAACGCGCTAAATGTGCACTTTCCGCGCGCGAGACCGTGTGTCCGCATCCGCAACCCTCCACCGGCTGCGCCAGTCGCACGTTGGCCGATGACGGACGCGCACGGGGTGAAAGTAAACGTGTCTCCGACCGGCGGCACGCTACTCCAGGGTGAGTGTAATCCCGAACTTCGGATTTTATAGTTATCCCGTTGCCCAATGGACATAGTGGCCGGACCATCCGGACATTCTATCGTTTCGGAAATTCCCGAGGGTGGCAAACATTTTTTATAATTCATTCTGTTTTCGAGTTAAGCGGATTGGAGGGATCCGCTTTTGCATTTTATTTCTCACCTCCGAAACACAAAGGTGCATGAGAACAACACTGACTTTGACGCGAAATTACTTTGTGTTCTATGGAAATAGAAAGTGTACTTCAACCACAAGAAATGAAACGGATCCATTATGCATTTCAGAGCTTTTTACATGCACGTTGAGATTTTGTAATTTTCTGTTGAGAAATACATTTTCCGGGTCTGCGAAAATCTGACTGCTTTCGAATATTTTAATGGGCGCATTTCAGAAATTTAATAAATATAAAAATATGCTAAATTTTACCCTGTGTACTGTTTTATTATAATTATATTCATATTGTGACAGAAATTTATTATAATTTAATATATAGTCAGTTTAATGCTGAAAATTACTTATTTTGAATATTAAAAGCATTAATCAACTGTGATCTTATTACTCAAAATAAATAATTAATCACTATCTTCAATTATTGTGGCGTCGAGTGGTTCACCGGTCGGTGCGATTGACTCGCAATCTGTAAATTATTTATAATTGGAAATTGATGGAAAAGAGAAATCTTTTATGAAGATTAAAAACCATCAATGTATTTTTTTTGGAATTAAGTTGAAACTTTTATACTTTAACTGTACAGGACGTAAGATGACGGATAATGACTCTTTTAACGCCGAATCCGAACGGCGCTGATGATAGATCATCGAGTTCAATCCCACGTGCGCCCAAACGCGATTTTTCGCGTTTAATGAGCCAAAAATGGGCTCCACCTGATGATCAAAAGATTTATGATCATCAGCGCCGTTCGGATTCGGCGTTAAAAGAGTCATTATCCGTCATTTTATGTCCTGTACAGTTAAAGTATAAAAGTTTCAACTTAATTCCAAAAGAAATACATTGATGGTTTTTAATCTTCATAAAAGATTTCTCCTTTCTATCAATTTCCAATTACAAATAATTGAGAAATATAATTACTATATTTTTTGTTCAATGTATGTGTACATACACTGAGAAAAAAAATTGTTAACTTGACTAAATGCGTTTAATTCGTAGTAATTATTTAGTTTAAATATTTATATATTTAGATTAAATTTACGCGAGTTAACACAATTTTATAATTTAAAATATGTTATTTGTTTAAATTAACAAATATTTGCTTGACAACCCACTGTATTTAGTTGAATCAACTAATATTTTTGTATTTTTGTGAATCGGCAACTTTTATCTTAATGTGTGTGTGTGTGTCTTCTGTTTGCAATGTTTTTTACATTAAATTTCTGTAAAGGAAAGTAACCATTCGGTACCTTTTTCTTTTAATTCTGAAGTAATACACAGACGATTTTTTAATTTCCATGAGAGGTTTCTTCTACATTAATTTCAAATTATGTATAATTGAGAAATATAATCGTGCTAAATTTTTGTTCAATATAGGTTTCCTTATTGTCTTCTCTTTGCAGTATCTCTCAATTCTGTTTATATCAAAATTTAAAAATGCAGAGAGACTGGAACACCCGGTCCGTCGGACGACGTAGATACTATCGTATTCGATTTTTCACCTGCTGTCGGATACACCAGTTGCATTTCCGCGCATAATTCACGAGCGAAGATTATTCCTGTCTGATCGTAACACATAGCGCATATACAAGATATCGGAAAATCTTTCAGACATCGCAAAGGGTATCGGCGCGAGCGTGTTGGTGTCGATGAAGGAGACGGCGAACAACGCGGCGATATAATGGCATCCAGGAAGCCGACCAAGTACGACGATTCGTAAAATCGCGAAGATGGAATTGCGAAAAAGCTCCTGGAAGATCGTGATTCTCGTGTGCGCGTTGGTCATCTACTTGTGGATGCTCTTCGTTGATCATTCGCACGTATTAGCCGACATATCGCAGAAGATCACACTGCAGAGAACGAAAATCCCCTCAAGGAGTGTAGTCTTGTACCAAGGTTCCGATAGATCTAGGATCGAAGAGGTGCCTCCGGATGGCCGGACGGATTCGAAAAAATCGCAATCTCTCTCACCTCGAAACGTGAACGGTACGTTCGAGGGAGGTATATCGGAGTATCAGACACTTAAGCAACAGGGCCTGGTACCAAGCCGGCAATTACCGACCGCTCTGATAATCGGCGTGAAGAAAGGCGGAACGAGAGCCCTTTTAGAGTTCCTGAGATTACATCCCGCGATTCGCGCCGCCGGCTCCGAAGTTCATTTCTTCGATCATCACTACGTTAAAGGATTTCGTTGGTACAGGTGCGTGCGGCAAATCGTTTCAACCACTGAAACCTAATACAGCACTCATCCATTTAAAGTTCTCGTAATTGCAAAGTTCCGAGGTATAAGTTCCATTCTGTTTCTCCCAATTGTCTTTTACATACAAATAATAATTTCTTCAAGTAAAAACAAACATAGCTTTATTGAAATAAATGTATATATGTATCAAAAATATATAATATTTTTAAAATAATTAATTATAATTAATTAAACAATTTAATTTTTTAATAATGTTACTATATAGAATATATAATATCTTTAAATCAAAAACTAATTAACCGTTGAGGAATTTTTTACTTATTCTTTTGCACGAAATATTATTTTTTCATCTGTTATTACTTTCATTGTCTTTTTTTATCGGAAAGAGATACTCTTTATAATATATTATGAATATCTCTAACAAGTTTTCTAACAATGGACGATATTCATAATCCGTTTTTTATTTTAAAGACCGTCTTAAGTAATAATTTAACGTTTAAAGATGTCGACGAATACAGCTCTCTGATTGGTTCATGACATCTTCGGTTGGTCTTAAAAATAAGATCCGACTACGAATAGTTCGATCAATGTCTCCAATGCAATTATGAATATATTCTTGACAATTCTTAATAATCAGACGCAGGATGCCTCCAACTCTGATCGGTCAGATCACCATGGAGAAGACGCCATCGTATTTCGTGACAAGCGAGGTGCCGAAAAGGGTGAAGCACATGAACCCAGGGATAAAGCTAATCGTCGTGGTGAGGGATCCCGTGACCCGAGCAATTTCCGATTATACGCAAGTGAAGAGCAAGCGTCGCAAGATGCCACGCTTCGAAGACTTGGCCTTCCTGAATGGATCGAAGATCGTGGATACCTCCTGGATGCCTCTGAAGATTGGAGTCTACGTGCGGCACCTGGAACGGTGGTTGCAGTATTTCTCGCTGTCGCAGTTTTTATTCGTATCTGGCGAACGTCTGATCGCCGACCCGGTGACGGAGGTCACCCGGGTGCAGGACTTCCTGAGTCTGAAGCGGGTGATATGCGAGAAGCACTTCTATTTCAACGCCACCAAGGGCTTCCCCTGCTTGCTGAAGTCGGAGGATCGTGCAACGCCGCACTGTCTCGGTAGGATAGTCGAGAATCGGTCGTCCAAAAAAGAACTTGCAGATCGTATAAAAAATGAACTTCTCTATAGAAAGAATTGTTTCGCTAAAGTATTTAAAAATTTGATTAGGCTCAGATCTGCAAATAAATTTGGAGCATCAAAATAATTATTATGTAGGACGCTTAAACTGGTTGCTAGAATGTCAAAACTTTTTGCAGCATTACTCATCATGCTTGATGTTGCTACGTAATTATTTAAATGGTCCATTAAAATTATTTTCAGAACTTATCTACATTTTTAAATACTTTATATCTATAATTCTATCTATCGGGAAGCAAAATACACACGCTGCAATAATTATATGTTCTAGTTGACACCAACTAAAAATAATATTATGTAATATATCAAATGTAATTATAATTTCACACTCAACGATATAAATGTAATAATATACCACATGGTGTTACGTAAAGTTACATCGTTGAGAGTGCGAAATTATAACATTAATGTTATGTTATGTTTAATTAGCGTAATTGATTTAATTGTTGACCGTTGGGTTGTCATTAAAAATCCATTTTCACGGAAATCATAAACAAAATACAGTTCACAAATTTCAGATCGTTGTTTTCCGTTGCGATTTTAAGTAATATAAATACTTTTTCAGAAACGAAGTTATCAATCTTTCTCATTAATGTTCAACAGTAAAATTTTTCTTCGCTCATAAATCACTTTTTACAGGATATATTTATCATCTAATCCGTTTGTTACGTAGAATATATTATAAAAATATGTAACGTTTGATATAAATTGATTATTTGTTATCTTTCAGGAAAAAATAAGGGTCGCAGTCATCCCTACATTGATCCCATGGCAATTCAGCGTCTTCGAGATTTTTATCGGCCATTCAATCAGCGATTTTATCAATTGGCGGGTATGGATTTCGGCTGGTATTAAAACTCACGTGTATCGCATACATACATATCGTAAGCAGGAAAACGGAACGGAGTCAATTGTCGTTAAGTACTTGTTACGATATCTATTACACCTGAATATCTGTAATCTGATAGTAATACATACGTACTACAGTCATATCAGAACGCGCCATTAGTGCATATTATAGTGCTTACAACATTATTACGAATTTTCCAAAATCTTGCTTTCGATGATGTAATCTTCAATTTTATCAGGTTTTAATTTTTTCAAATTATATAGATTATAGATTATATAGAGAGAATATACATACGTATTCTTTTTTAATTTTTCATTATACAGTATTAATAATCTCCGTACATATATCACTTTCTCAAAATTTTGCTTCCAGTGATGTAGTCATTAATTTCAAGTTTTAATACTTTCCAATTAAATTTCACAACATATTTTTTTCCAATTCTTTGATATTTTAATTTAACAGTAGTGTTAAATTTAACTAAAAACGAATTTATAAGAACTTTGCAAATCTTGTTTCCGATGATAGAAGATTGAAATCTAAAGTTAAATTGTATAAAATTAGAATACATATCTTTTTTAACTTTTTATTACATTATATAATTTAATATATATAATTTTTATATAATTTAATATATGTAGCATTAAATAATCTATAAAAACTCTATAAAAAAGTTGAGTCAATACTTTCTGTTTGTTATTTGTAACATAGTTAGATTAATTAGATTTATAGTTTAGTATTAGATTTGCCAAGAAATAGAAAGGAACGATATCTCTTAAAATGATGAGCGCACAGTTACCGTCCGGATGTTTGTTTATGGAAAGGAACCGCGACATATCTATATAATTATCCTATTATAATTCTTATATTCTTTAGGTCAACATCAAATTAGTTCTTTCTGTTGAATAAAATAAAATGAACTTAATATTACCGAACCGAATGTTAATATTAAAACATTTATCAGTTTCCTTCATTACTTCTGACTTTTCATTTTTAATCTCGTAGGTTAACACGATAGTGCAATATTAATGTACTTCTCTTTGTATTTTGATAAATTTAAACGAAATGTAACCACGAACACGGTAACCATTATACAATGAAAGGGCAAAGTGATTAAAAAATTATTAGATAAAAAATTATTCGCGCTGACCGTAGGAAAATTTTGAAATTGCTCTTTTAATTGTGTCATCAAATTTATAATTTTAATTAATTTTTAAATCATTTATACATAATTAAAGTAAACTTTTTTACTTCACAATGAAAATCCATTATTATCTATAAATATGAATATAATATTATACATTAGAGCGTGATTTATATATAAAATAATTTATAAATTTTTTTTATTGTATAATTTAAATTTTTATATTTAAAAAATTTATGTTTTGTTTAAGTTGCATAGATAACATTTTTTAATTTTTTTATACATCGTACTCAATAATCACTTCGCCCTTGTTAACAATCCAATTTGTCTTTAAAGTAATGATATATAGGGGCCTATTCTGTAACTTTACATTATCATTGCGCAGGTTTTGTATACCGCAAAATAGCTGTGCAACGATAATTTAACGATATCGTTAGAGTCGTTAAGAGTTACAGAATAGGTCTCATAGTACATGACAATGACGAATAAGTATAGAAATATCACAATTTACTAGTTCCTAAGTATTAAAATCTAGTCAATACAATTAGCAAAGATACGCATATTTATAAAAATAGCTGGATAGAAGACCTCCGACATAATTAAATCAAGTATTAGATTTAATTACGCAGAGTATAACGTGTTAAATACAGGGATAAAAATATAATGATAATATATATATATTTCATTAACGCGTACGTATTGGGGTCGACAGTTTCACAAGACATGAATTTATTTCTAACTCTGCAAAATACTTAAATATGCTTATCGCCAATTCCTGCATTTCACGATATATTCTGTAAAAAAAGTCATCGTTTATAAGATAAAGTTAATGAGATTAATATATTATGAGACAAATCCGAACCCGAAGAAATTAATTCGGATAAGATAGGAAGTTAGTGAATTATTCCGTGCGTTCTAGAAACTAGAGCGCAACGTATGCGTTAATACTTGTATGTAAGAAAGAGTAACGATTAATGTACTTAATTCGACGACGATCGAAGGGCTATACATATATTTATCTAGTACGTAAGAACGAAAGTAGACAACATTTAGCGATACGATCAGTGCGAATGATGAATAATGATGTAATAGTGAAGCACAGTGCTTTTGCTCAAATTGTATCACAGGAGGCTGTCAATTTAATATAAGTATTTCGTACATTGTTTGAAATATGTTTTGAATACAGGCTGTTTGACAAATAGAGCAAAATATGTATATAAATATTATGCAAAATGTCTAAAATTAGCGATTCACCCAATGATAGATGCTATATAAATAGATTCGTGCCTTTTTTTAGCTGTTTTATTATAAATAGCACGCAAGCGCCTATGTAGAAACCGCTTGATTCCATAGTTAAATTCCCAATCCCTTTTCTTTTGATGTTTCATCTTTGTCACTGAAGCTAAAATTTATTTGTGATTTGGAAATTATAGCTATAACTTACGTTGTTTTTTTTTAGAAGAATTTATTAATAGAATATAATTTGTAAGAGAAAAATATCTATGCATATAATACAAAGTATAATGCAGATGAAAAATCTGTATGTGTGGTAATAGTTGTATAAAATGAATATTTTTGACATATAAATTCTCATATATTTTTCTACCTTTACAAAATAGAATTTCTACATTACAAAATAGAGGTCCAAAATTAAATGAATATAAAAATATATAATAACAAGTACTGTCTTTTTTCATACCACAAGATGAATTAGATCGACTGCAAGGAATATTCATCGCCCCAAAACATCGTTTTGCAACATTAAAAATTAGCATTATTCTTATATAAATAATATCAGTACTCTAGATTCTTAATGATTCCATTGTAAATCGACATAGTAAATCGCAAATTACGCATATAACTATTACTGCCATTAATGTCATTAAACGTTACAGTATCTTCAACTATTTTTATACATTAGAACAAATAATATTTCAGATACAATACCGATATTTTCCAGCAGAATATTGTTTCATTGCAGGAAGCTCAATCCGAATCTTTCTATAATATTAAATTCATTTCTCGAAGCCTAAGAGATCCCTTCTGAATATAAAATATTTAGAGATTATTTATCTTCACTCACAATTATAAAAAGATTTACTAAACACAGTCTATTGTTAATCCTTTAAACAAGGGACGGAAGAATAGGCTATAATTCTTCACTCATTAATTTCCTGTA